ACGAAATCGCCAAAGGAGAGAGCGCCGCGTTCCGTTTCTTCTGATAAGCCTTTGGGACGACGGACGCGAGAGAGAAGGACGGAGAACCGCTGCAGGAAGTAACAGCTGGCCGAAGGGATAGCAACATCAGCAACAGCAGCGACGGCGGCGGCAGTACCATTACCATCATCCGAGCTAGATATCTCCTCTCCGGGATTCTTGTACATACGAGTAAACGTATGCGCGCACATACGTGTGTCTGTATGTGTGCGCGATACTAGCGAAAGACGTATGTACGTTGTGTTGCATCGTACATACGTCACGGAACTCGGCGGCAAGATCGCGGGAGAGAGTTGAGTGACAGTCGCGTGCAATCACAGCGCGACTCTGATTAAACATTCGCGTGTCGCGCATATGCGCACGTTGACGGTCTTTAACCTTGGATGTATCCGTAAAGAATGTCGATAATATTTACCTGCATCCGTACCTGTGCGCACCTGTGAGATCTACACTTAAATCTAAGCTACCTAAGACGTACGATGATGATTCTGATATTTTTTCGATCTTTTTTTTTTTTAGCGTTTCTAATTATTAAAAGATTCTATGTGGTAATCACATCCCAGACACATGACACAGTGATATTGCAGTTATTTTCGTCGCCACAATAATGGAATAATATGTCGGTATGACAATAATCACGTTCGTTAATTACTTCATTATAATCTATTTACATAATTGCATTGTTTATGTATTATTTGCATGCGATTTGCGCCTCTTGCATAATTGCGACAATAATTTTATTTGGGATGTGCTGTCGATACGTTCCGTACAAAATTTTCGAACTGAGGAAGGCTCTGAGAGATAGAGAAAAAAAAAAAGAGAGAGAGAGAGAGAGAGAGAGAGAGAGAGAGAGAGAGAGAGAGAGAGAGAGAGAGAGAAAGTCGATATCTCTTTTTTCGATTTTTTTTTTAGCGTTTCTAATTATTAAAAGATTCTATGTGGTAATCACATCCCAGACACATGACACAGTGATATTGCAGTTATTTTCGTCGCCACAATAATGGAATAATATGTCGGTATGACAATAATCACGTTCGTTAATTACTTCATTATAATCTATTTACATAATTGCATTGTTTATGTATTATTTGCATGCGATTTGCGCCTCTTGCATAATTGTGACAATAATTTTATTTGGGATGTGCTGTCGATACGTTCCGTACAAAATTTTTGAACTAAGGAAGGCTCTGAGAGATAGAGAAAAAAAAGAGAGAGAGAGAGAGAGAGAGAGAGAAAGTCGAATTCTCTCATTCCGAGAATAATTGATCTCTGTTTCATCGCGTTGTGCGCCCACTTAATCGCTAGTGCATTGAGACATCACGATCCAAAAATGGATGGATGCTTGCACCCGCATCGGTGCCATCATAATACCGCGGAGATGCATGGCAACGATTTCGTATCGTAAAGTCATTAGAGAGACAACCGCGCGTCCTATCAGCTCGCTCGATTGTATTTAATCTCTCTGAATCGAAACCGGGACGAATTATATCGAAATGAAATTTGCCAAAACCCGTTTCGGCTATGCACATTGAAAAAGGAAACGTTTGAAGTAACTAAAGTAATTAATTAAATTTGTGTCTGGTGTATTTTACTTTGACTTCGTACTGTCACGCGTGGAAAACGACATCAACGTTAATAAATCGATAGCGAATAAACAAGAGCGGGGAGAACGGGCAACATTTATCACGCATTTATGGCGTATTACAATCGAATAATATTATTACAAATGTTACGACCTGAATTTACAGATCGTAATTAAGCAATGTCCTACCTGCTCGCTTATCAATCGGCAAATTAATTCGTCGGTAGATAACAGAAAGAAGCGCGTGACAAATTATTATTAAATCCACGGTAGAACGATGATTTATATTCCTCGCGTACACGATTTCGAGAAACGAGCGAGACAAAGATCCTCGAAGGGCGAAATTGCCGATTCCTATCAAAAGGACGACTGTAATCTTCACGAATATTTTCTGATTTTTTTAATCCTTTTTTTTTCAACCGCACGAACCGATCGACCGAGTTGAAAAAAAAAGGATTAAAAAAATCATATATATATGTGTGTATAATCGCCATTCGCGATCTTCCGGCTGGCAGTTACCAGAGGCCATCGGAGGAGATTTTTCACGTGGGATATCACGATGACGCCCTGTGTAACCACGACCTCGCCCTTTATATGCAGGCGGCGGAAGGCGTCTATGTGTACTCAGGCTCCCCATCATATCGCGTAAGCCGTGAGGCAGCTTAGTTTGTCGAGAGTTCAGGTACAGGTAATTACCTACTGGCTACCGGCGTCAGGTGGTAGTGACACGGTAGCGTCGACCTCCTCCTCCTTCTCTCGCTATTTGCCGCGCTATCTCTCTCTTTCTCTCTCTCCCTCTCTCTCTCTCTCTCTCTCTTTCCTTAGACACTGATCTGCTCTATGTATTTACACGCACCCACGCAAAAATACCTTGTGGCGATCAGTTCCATTAGCTTAATGGGATCGTCCCTCCTACCTTTCCGCCAACAGATTGACCGTCTTATCTGACGGTTCCCTTGTGCGTTACTCTAGCGGAAAGTTCGAGTTCCGCATTAATTATTCGGCATCTCATTACACGTTGCCTAATCTGAGGATTAATTATTTTAACGATAGTTGCGAGAAATATGCAGTTCTTGATCTAACAATAAGATAATAATTGGTTACAAGAACATTTATATAATTTATAAAGAGTCTTAACGCATAAGAATTTCGTATACCTATTCGAATATTTCGTGTACATATCGATTGTTATACTGATATGTAATTGCGTTAAACGTGCGCATTAACGTATCAGCATTGATAGCCTCGCAATATGCGTTTTAATGCACATTTATAGGATACCTGCGGCTGTTCTTTAATTATGAACGAGCCATGGCGCGCGTGTACAGGTATAACGGCTACAAATTCAGAAATTCGACATGCTATTATGATGATAGCTCTTCGCTTCGGATATGATTACGATTTTAATGTTAGGATTGCACAAAAATATTGGCATATTTTAAAAAATTTGACGTATCGTGATTGTTTTTAAACAGTATCGTAGGAATTTTTATAAATTATATTTCGACAAATTTTCACTTTTCAAGTACAACAGTTTTCCCAATATTTTAATTATTTTTATAATTTTTTTTTTGATATATATTACATTTTTGATATCTTCACATAAAATATTTTTTTTGATAAAAAAACTACGTTAAAATACATAAGAATAAATATATTAAATATAAATATGCATTAAACACGTGATGTTTGTAATTAATGAATGAATAGAGAAGGATAGATAAGTCTTCGGCAAATTAGAATTTAGGATTCTTTCTGTTTCATTGTGAAAGGAGCTTCTCTCTTGAGCATAAATATTCATATAAATTGTCAACAACCTGTCGATCGATCGATCGATCGGGTGCGACGAAGGAGCTCGCCAACTAGGGACAGAATATCTCGTTGCTGTTGATCGACGTTACACGAAATGCGCCACGGGGGTTTACTGTCTGTAACATTTCGTTATCGGCATACTCGGCATGCCCTCGTCGTTTTCGCCACGCATGCCGCGGGCGTTCCACGGGAGATAACGCGCTACGCGCGCGCACAGCGAAACAAGACAAGGCGGATGACACGGCCCGTAATTGCATGTTATCCGTTGCATCCACGCGCGGGCATGCCCGTGTGCGCGGGCTTACGCACGCACGCACGCACGCAGGTATGCGTGCGGGTATGCGGCGCGCGGTGTGCGTAAGCGCGTATTTCTGCGGAAGAGTGCGTGCGCCGTGCGTGCGGTCGGCTGCCCGTTCCACGTGCACCGTGCTCGACGTTCCTGGATATGCGACATAAAGTGCGACGTTTGCGGCGACGCTTGCCGTGCCTTCCCGAGCCCTTGTACGGTTCCGCTTCCAGATGTGCGTGTATGTGTGTCGAATGTAAATAATGTCTCTGTGCTTCTCGCGAGCTTGTCCGCGGCTTTATCGAGTAGTCGATCGTTAGAGTCATGGATCTCGAGTCGCGCGATGAAATAACTTTATCTTTGATATCGATCAAAATATTATCCAACGGTGATTTTTATATTGACGAAATATATTGTAGATCTCTGATGATACACACAGAAAAATACATACTATATACAAGTAAATATTACTTGTTTCAAATATTTGATAAGTTTATATATCCGCAAATCTCTATCATAAGTTATAATATATTCTGAATCCTAATAAATTTAATATTTCAATCAAGAATATTAAATTATATAATTGAAAGAAATACATTAAATTTTTCTGACCTAATAAATTTTCTTACATTAAATTAACCATATCTGACCATTTTCTTCGATAAAATTTTATAATATTCTTCAAAAGAAAATATTTACTTTTTTTGAGTACATGATAATGAGTTTTTCTAAAATTTGTGACAAGTCTATTTTAAGACTATTATTAAGAAAATATTCTTTGTTAAAGATAACTGTTACTTAAAAGAAGTAAAGTAAACTGAGTAATCATTTTACTTAGCAATAGAATAATATTTTTCTGTGTGCACTTATACTCGCGCGGATTAGCTATTTTTTTAAAATAAATCTCATTAATTATTGCAAAAATTGCAAAATGATATAGAACTTTCCTCTACTCGATTTAACCCTCTCTATACATGAGAGGTGATACGATTATTACCGGACATCTTGTTTAATTATATACATATTTGATTATATCAACTTTTTTCTCGAGCCTGAATGAAATAGAAATCTGTTAAAGTAATTCTTCTTGCTTCCTAATAATAATTAATAATAATAATTAATAATAGTTAATAATAATAATAATAATAAAGATAACTAAAGATAAATAATCCAAAAATAAATACAATTTCTCTTTACATAGGGAGCTAATTGAATTTACCTTCGAGTGATATAATTTACCTTTGAGATATACCTGGATGCCAGAACTGATTTTCGTTGCAGCATCTTCCGGTCCGCGGGAGAAATCCTCGCGGGAGGAAGTGGTTCAACCAGAGGCGCACTCGCCCTCGTCTCAGCAGCACCAAAGACTCGGCCAGCAAAAACAAACAAACGGTTCTCGGTCGGAGTACAAGGGCGCGTCCGGTTGCTCCAGGTCTTCCGACAACGACAGTCCTTTGCCTTCGCAATCAGTCAAGTCCGAGCTCGAGGAAGGGTCCGGTGCTGTCAATGCTGGACCCAGGACAGACGACCAGAGCGATGGCCCCGCGCTGGCGAACGGTACCGGCAGTGGTGCATCCAGATGCGTCAGCAGCATCTTCGCCGGACACGGCAAGCTCAAGAGGCTGCTGGGTACTCTGGTGCAATTCGCCACCGATATCTCGACGGACACGGGCGACACGGTGCGTGCGCTGGTGCTCGCGCTTCTGGTAGGTGAATAATGCTTGTATTTGCCGAGTACAATTGAAATATAAAAAGATGTTTGCAGTTACCTGAAATTTTAATTTTAAATTAAAAAAACCAACGGATGTTTTTTTAATAACAGATTTTCTGGCCAATTTAAAGATAATATTTTCTCAGTGAAAATGTCGATTTTTTTTAGTAATTTATTAAATTTTTTATTAATTTTTCAATAAATTTGGTACTATGGTACGCGCTCTATGAAGTTACGCGATACGAACCGTTAGCTCATATTCTGCAGCTGCAATCTCTGTTAGCTTATCGCGCATTGCATCTGGTATTTGGCCAAGCATCCTCTTAGGTGCACACGAGATTTTACCGAAGTTACGAACTCTTTCAGTACCAACAATAAGTAAGGTACGCGTACCAGCTGACGGAATTTTCTGTCATGTGCTGAAATTGCAGAATTTGCGATACGCATCAACGTATTTTGTGCAAATGCATTCATAAAATATGTTGCAGTTATGTTGCAGGCATCTCTCTCTGCAATGGATATTATTTTATATTATTAAAAAATGATTAACATTTTTTTTTTATAAACTGATGATAAAAATCCAACAGAGTGTGATTTATTTTTTATAAATGAAGAATTGATCGGAATAAAATTTGAAATCGATAATTTCTTAATTGTGGAAGGATACATTTGAATTACATAATTTTATATTCTGACAATGATAAAGATAAGATGATGAAAAATTGAGATTCAACTGAAACTAACAAGATCATTTTACTTAGCAATAGAATAATATTTTTCTGTGTGTACTTTCAAAGATTTTATCAGGAATATTTCGAATCAGAAATCTAAGCAGTAATATTTTTTTTTTTTTATCTGGACAGAGAAAGCTTATATGCTCTTCTTTTATATCTCTCTTTTTATCTTTTATATACATTAATTAATAATAATAATTAATAATAATTAATAATAATAATAAATTTGGTACTATGGTACGCGCTCTATGAAGTTACGCGATACGAACCGTTAGCTCATATTCTGCAGCTGCAATCTCTGTTAGCTTATCGCGCATTGCATCTGGTATTTGGCCAAGCATCCTCTTAGGTGCACACGAGATTTTACCGAAGTTACGAACTCTTTCAGTACCAACAATAAGTAAGGTACGCGTACCAGCTGACGGAATTTTCTGTCATGTGCTGAAATTGCAGAATTTGCGATACGCATCAACGTATTTTGTGCAAATGCATTCATAAAATATGTTGCAGTTATGTTGCAGGCATCTCTCTCTGCAATGGATATTATTTTATATTATTAAAAAATGATTAACATTTTTTTTTTATAAACTGATGATAAAAATCCAACAGAGTGTGATTTATTTTTTATAAATGAAGAATTGATCGGAATAAAATTTGAAATCGATAATTTCTTAATTGTGGAAGGATACATTTGAATTACATAATTTTATATTCTGACAATGATAAAGATAAGATGATGAAAAATTGAGATTCAACTGAAACTAACAAGCGTCAGATAACGATCTGGCGATCTGTACGCGGCACGAGATGAGAAAAAAAAGCATAGTTGATCGATGCCGACCGTGTCGTTAAACAGCTCGTAAATATTCAAAATACGTACATAATGCATAATGTCGTCGTGTGTACCGAGCGTGCATACGTCGCGGAAACGTGACATCTGGTGACTGTGCTTAACTGTAAAACGATCGCGGCACGTGACAAACGCAAAACCAAATCCGACCGAAGCCACGCGCGCAACTCGTTCCGGAAACGCGTTCCGGTTTCGCTCTACCGATCTTTTTGCCGACGATTCAATTACACGAAGCGGCGACTAAACGTTCGTCGTCCCGTTAATTTTCAGAGCGGTAGCATGACCGCCGAGGAGTTTCACTCGGCGTTGCAGGAGGCGACCAACTTCCCGCTCAGAAGTTTCGTCTTGCCGTACCTTAAGCACACTTTACCTTCTCTACAGAGGGACCTGAGCAACGCGGCCCGAGCGAATAATCAGGTAAGATAGATTTTTGCATTTATTATAACTAGTCGATAAAACTTATTTTCAAAAATGCGAAAAATCAATATTTCAATTCTGAAATGAGTTCGTGCAATAATATGATATATCGCGTTTTTTTTTTTTTTTAGATATAACAATACTTTTATCATTTTATATAATTTATCTTATAATACACTGAGTTTTATTTTGAAGGTTTATTTCGAAAGAATCCGCGTTTTTATAAAGTTTTGATTAATATTGGTGTATTGAAAGTTATAAGAGAAAAGAATACTCTCTTAAATTGAATCAATGAAAATTATTGATTAAAGCAATGACAAAATTTCAATACTCACTGATCTTCAATGAAAATATTCACACACTTTGCTTCTTATGTATTCTCTACATTCGGCAAAATGTCACAAGAGTATAATGAGAGTAACAGTAACGCCTGATCCTTGAGCGACCTGACGCTTTATTGGAACCATTACAACGATCATAAATCACTGCACTCGTGTGCATCGTGGCGTAGCGCGTAACGATGCATGAAGACGCGCATTCTCTGCACCGCAAAAATTCCTATCTATCTCGCGACCAGGATCTGTCGCAGTCAGAATAAATCGTTTATATATAAATCAGAACAAAATCATATTGTAATTTTTTTATAAATTATCAAGTAATTTAAATTAACGAATATCAAATTTTTTTGACATATAATTGCACATGTAAATACTTTTCATATACGTATCTCGCACAATTTATCTCTATCATTTTTTAAATAAATATCTTTGACATTTTACGCGTCTTCTCTATTAAAAAAAAAAAGCTAGCAATTACATTTAATACACAAAAAAAAAACTTATTATTTATTTGTAGCTGCTGCACTTTGTAGAATACGCGGCAATTTTGTTTTGCAGTCACGCGTTCAATTAATGATACGCGCAATTTTTTATTGCACTCTCTGATGAATATCGCGACGAAAGAGGGAGACGAATCCCGCGGGACATTATGCCGCTGTTGGCAGATCGATGACACATGTGGCCGATTCTCGTTCCAAGAGATTCGCCGCGGAATGCACGGTATCTCGAACGAGGGAAGATCACTGTACGAGCAGTGTTTGTTATGCAGGGACCGGTCCATGTCCTCCCGAAGATGCCGGGCGTGTTTGATCTTCCTCTCTCTGTCTCTGTCTTTCTCTCTTACTTGGGTCGCGCGTCGGCCCATAAATTTGTATGCACTACTGCGCTTGGGCGAGTACAGGCGCGCTTCCGAATCCTTTCACGTGTTTGCCTTACCGTGACATTGTTGCTAGTATGCGGGAACACACAAAGTATGCCGTTCAAGGTAATGGACGAGTCATCATTATATATTATTTCATGCAAAGCAATGCGCTTTTATCTCCCTCCCCTCTAAATGCTTGAAGAAAAGTAAAAAATCTTTTTATTTCATTAACAGCTTGGAAAATAAAAATTACTCTGAATAAATAATAAATATATTGTTCGAATATAAATTTTATACAAGGTAAAGGTTCTCTTTACTAATAACCAAATAAATTATAATAGTGGAATAAATTTTTATCCCAATCTTTGTAGATTTTAATTATTATTTATGCAATTACTTGTGTTAAACGAATGAAATGTTTTTATTTCTTTATTACATGAAAACAATATAATTTTTAAATGTCACTGTAGCATAATGCTTGAGTTCGCATCTTGTATGGAAAAGTGCTGGTTAATTATTCATTAGTTAAATTTTAAACCGAGCTCTAAGCGGCTAGCACATCAGATGCCAGTTTCCCAGATTATAAAATTCATTTTCCAAACCAGCGACTGCGGCAGTGTATTCGCCACTTTATTTCTTTGTGGTTTTACAATTTTTAACTAACTCGACCGTGATGCGGTAATTAGGCAACAATGTTAAAGGATTACACAAAATATTATTTTAATATATAAATTCGAATATTGTATAATTAAATATTGTAACGATTCTTTTTCATTCCTTCTCAATTCCATATTGTCAAAGAATTCAACGTTGAATAATGCAGGAATTACAAGTGACAGCGTTTCGTCATAGATCATTAACAGAGAGAAACTAATTTTAAATACGCCGTGGAATCTGCGTGAGAAATTGCGTGTTAGATCCAGGACACTCTCCGTATAACGAGTGCGACGCGGAAACGCGGGAGGACCCGCGTAAAATCAACAGAGGCAAGGTTGGCCGGCTGGCGGGTTGTTTTATTTTCCCAGGCTACTTTCCGATCGTCGGTGGGAGCACGCCAGTCTGTTCCAAGATGGATGAACGAGTCGGAACGAGACGAGCGGCTCGGGAAAAAGCTCTATGATTTTTGCCTCCTGAATCCCTCGCAGTAGGAGATACATTGCAATAGATACACGCGAGATACAGAATTTCATAGCCACGCGATATTATGCATAATACGTGACACGCATGATCTCATGTTCAGCAAACCTTATTTAATTTTTTGCTAATAGCAGGAAGAAATATATAGGTATATAGATATATGGTTTTATTGATCCTTCGTTTATCAAATGTTTTCTATGCGACAAGTAAAAAGTTCGCGAAAAGTCACGTGATCGTAAATCCACGTGAAATGTATTTTTTTTTTTTTTTACGGAATAATTTAGGCTTTGGTGGAAAGAATTGCTCGGGGAAGAACCGATTAAATAACGCTGCATTACGGAATAATTTAGGCTTTGGTGGAAAGAATTGCTCGGGGAAGAACCGATTAAATAACGCTGCATTTCAGAGAATTATACCGGAGAGCTCGGAACTGTTCGTCTGTAATGTATATAATCTCGTCCTTAAAATTATCCCTTGCATGCAATTTTCCTCGCTAAATCCGTGGATGTACGATTTAATCTGGTCTACTTTGGCCATCCATGTACGCATCGGTTGGTTTGAATATCCGGTATCTCGTAATTATTAATCTGCGTAAAAAAATGAAAAGCAAAGACATACTACACGTATTTTATATCAGGCGGTAACTTTTATGCGAATTCACGGGGAATTAACGTTAAAAGAAATGTGCGTTAGCGCTTCTTTATGCGTTTTCTATAGATATACACACACATACGCTTCTATGGTATATTAAAACTAAGAGTATTTGCAAAAGAAATTTTTGGGTTTTTATATACGCAGCATATTCGCTTGCGTGTAAAATCAGGAAAGAGGGAGACATGGAATATTTCTATTTTCTGAGAGATACACAAAAGAACGATCTACAGCATAAATATAAAAATATTACAAAAATAATACAGAAAATATTATAAAAATATACAGAAGTAAAATAATTCTAAAAAAAATGAAATGACCAAATGACAAGTAATGACGATTACTTTTCGAGGCGTACGTAGAATTTTGAACAAATTCCTTTGTAATATATCGGAATTATTAAAACTGAACGGTTTCGCGATCGGCAACGCGAACTCAAAGGATGCAAAGGAGCAAGCTCGTTATTTTCGCTCAATCGATACGCACCGCACTGCGACTTTAATTTCTGCGACACCGCGAAATTCGAGCTCGTAGGATTAATAGGATCCTTCCGCTCACGCTACTGTCCGCAGCTGTTGCCCGTCTCGAAGGCGAGTGAAAAGGAAAGAGTGAGGCGGGCCGGGCGACAGAGAGCTCTCGGTGAGGTATAACGAATTGCAAATTAATAGCGAGCATTTACATTTCTGCCGGCGCGATGAAGGCGCGCGTGAGGATCCGAAAGTCGCAAGGCGGAGCACGACGGCTTGGTTTTCCGGTTTTCCCTGAGCCTCGGTATCTCCTCCGCGATTGCGAAACTCGACGTCATATAAATCCTAGAAACTTTTTGCGACATGTGCACTTCTTAAAAATCGATGCGAGAAAATTAGGAGTTTATATTAGCATGTTTAAAGGATGTTTAGTTGATATTTTCAATAAATGATTGACATATTATGTGGTAAATGTATACTATCGAGATTTTTTTATTATCAGGAAATAAATCTTTGGTCGGTCAAATTTTGTTATTAAAATGTAAGTAATATAAAATATCAGCATTTATAAAAAAATAGGAATGGTCAGTATTTTATACTAGTTATTATGCTGACACATGTATTTAAAAAAGGTCTGACTTATTTAATTGTTTTATCCGCGTACAAAAGTGTCTCTCTCTCTCTCTCTCTCTCTCTCTCTCTCTCAAGACTCTCGTTATCGTCAGTTTTCAAGTGGAAACGTTTAGCATCGGCCAAGTGCTGTTCGCGAATATTTTCACACATGTACACGCTGCACAAGTGGTCATCGCGTGTACCTGGACCCCCGATCGATGATCGTTAATTGCAAGTCGTGAAAACGAAAGAGCTCGAAAGGAAGGGGACGAGAGATGGCGAGGGGTGTACGGGAGGCGGTACGGAAGGTACCGATATTGAATTAGAAGCGATAAATCCCACCCTGCCACGCCGACTTCTGAGTATTGGGGGCAAGAGAGGGCACGGCGGAATAAGGGGCTCGACGAGAAACTTCGACTAGATGGGCGCGAGTGGCGGGAACGGCGATAAAGAAAGCAGTGAAACGAATATTAAAAGTCGAAACCGATGCGATCAGGCGAGCCAATCAGTTTCAGGACTGGAAGGATCTAACATACTTCTCAGCATCCTTTATAATGTATTGCAACTTTCTGCTAGTTCACAGATAACAATCTTATAAAAATTGATGTGAAATTATTACATATAATATATTACATTTTAATTCGCGCGTGTGTGTGTGTGACATTCTTTCTCAATAGAAAAACATTTATAATAGCATTTTTAATAACGGATTCAATAATTTTAAATTTTCAATAATTTTTTAAATATTGTATGTGTATCGTGATGAAAAAAAAAATATATATATATATTTTTTTTTATTACGATACACATACACAATATTTAAAAAATTATTGAAAATTTAAAATTATTGAATCCGTTATTAAAAATGCTATTATAAATGTTTTTCTATTGAGAAAGAATGTCACACACACACACGCGCGAATTAAAATGTAATATATTATATGTAATAATTTCACATCAATTTTTATAAGATTGTTATCTGTGAACTAGCAGAAAGTTGCAATACATTATAAAGGATGCTGAGAAGTATGTTAGATCCTTCCAGTCCTGAAACTGATTGGCTCGCCTGATCGCATCGGTTTCGACTTTTAATATTCGTTTCACTGCAATTATATTTAATATTTAATTATTATATTAATATTTTATTACATATATATATCAATTATTATAATCAAACATTATAACAATCTGTTATTATTCCCCTTTTTAGAAAATTTGAATAATCAGTAATTCGAAACGTTTCCACCCTTTTACATATTACAGAATAAATGCAGCGATTTGAGATGATGATAGCGAAAGGATTAACGCGATCCTTTTTTTACGTTCGCAGAGCTGCGTGCAATTCCTCCGATCCAACGAGTCCGCCGTTTTGGAGACCGTGGGACTGGTCCCGTCCGGCGAGTCCGTCGAGGTGTTCGGCGAGCACGGGGGTGCGAACGGGATCGGCGGCGGTAATCAGTGCTCCGCTCATTACGCCATGCGCTCGAATTCTAATCCCGGCGTCGGTGCCATTCAGCACGCGGCGGGCAGCAACGCCACGGGCGCGTTGCATCATTATTCCGGCGCTCATACGACGAAGCGCCGTGCCTCCGACACCCCGTGAGTGTGAACACGCGTCATCTTTTGTGTATTCCTATCGATCCTCAAACGTTGATTGCGGTCGTCAAGAGCCTCGAGAAGAATGAAACGTTGCGACATCGATAGATTTTTGAATGGATCGATCAATTTTTATCTCTTTCCAATCCATTACGAGAGAGTTGTTTGATAATGGACAAAGAACCGTATTAAATGAAGCTTGGAATGAGGCCAAAAAAAAATTAGAAAAACAATTTCAGCGACTTCAGTATATATGTATATTATAGTATTAGAATATTTAAATTGAGAGAATGATAAATATCTGTCTCAGATAAAATTCAAGTCTTTAATTATGTTTTTCAAGATGAATGCAATTTATATCTCACATATTAAATATAAAAATAAAATTGGTATATATAAAGATATTATACTTGATCGACGCAAGTAATTCAGCTATTAAAATGTAAAGATATCATAATATCAATTATAATATCTGCGGATTGATCGTTGAAAGCGCAAACATAATAACTCTCTCTCTCTCTCTCCCCCCCCCTCCCTCCCTCTCCCTCTCTCTTTCTCTCTCCACGCACAATCGACGGAGAGAAATAGACACAATGAGGGCGCGTATATTATCGCACAAATTGCATCTCACGCGGCATGATCTCGTGGAATCTTTGCTGGCTCATAGCGATAATTCACGCGATAACGAACGCCACACATCTGCGCGTACACGCGCACGTACTACGTTTGCCAAGCCGCAAATGTGCCGGTCGTTTCGGAAAAATCTTGGCTGCCGGCCTGCATTTCTTGCCGATATTTATCGCGATCAGGCACCCATTAATGCGAAATTGCCTCCTGTTCAACATTTCGTTGATATTGATGCCTCGCGCGAGAATGTTCCAACACGCTAATCAAGAAATCTCAACGATCTCAAGTGAGAGAAAATTCGCGATTCAAGAAAAATATATATTTTACTAAACGAACTTAAATATACTTTCTGGAAAAATTCAAATCGAATTTTTCTTAATAGTCATTAACAGTCGTCAATAATCAAATCTTCGAATTATAAGCGATTGACAATGGATATAAAAGAAAATTATTACTTCGATCATCTTAATGCATAAATTCCACGTGTCATCTTCACTGTGCATCCGAGGTGTTGATGGAATCAGTACCGGACGGCCAGGATTTCCGCTCTGGATGATATGCACGTGGATGAGAGGGAGAGGGAGACACCATGAAGCGAATACGAAGGCGACAAAACGCGGTGTGCGCCCTGGCAATGCCACCCTGGCCTCCTCTCGATATGTCTGCCGGTGACGTTTCCATATATCATCGGGGGCACCACCTTTCCCGAACACCACCCTATCGCGTTCTTCCCCCCTTTCCCCCCACAGTTACCCCTTCGTCCACGAGCACCGGTGAACTTGCCTCGAGTGCCTATCGGCATCCTGCTAATACACATCGCATCGCAGCATGTCGGCGAACGTGGGTGTAAGCGCGTACACATAGACAGTCGTCTTTGATTCGTAGGCAACCTCCACGCGATACTGAATGCCTAAACAATCCGCCGTGTAAGAATAGAGAGGCGCTCTAAAACGAACAATACGGGAATCTGGCGAGTTGTTGAATACATTTTCGCGTGCCGATGATTAAGAAATGCATGTTAAGTGTGTACATTATGCTTTAGTTTTTCTAATGTTATTGATTGTGATATTATATAATAATTAAAGATTAATCGTATCAGACTCAAAACTGAGTTTTGTCTCATACTAACAGCATCGACTTCTGTTTTCTTCCGTTAATATTAGCGAATTTTAACAGATATTACGAGAACGGCGTTCTTTTGGACGACATGCCAGTGTATGGCAAGAGGTCTACCAATCCGTGGAGTCATCATCACCACCAGCAACAGCAACAGCAGCAACAGACACCGACGGACCCGTCCTACTGCTGGTACCATCCGTTGCACTCCGCAGGAGGGTCGATTCAAGGTCACGCGCACGCCCACGGTCCAAGCCCGGTACCGCCTAGCCTCGTGCAGATTAATCAGATAAACGCGTTCTCCACGCCGCATCATTTGACCCAGCAGTCGCAGCAGCCGATGGGCCACGGCTTGCAAACGCAGAACGGCGGTAGTCTTGATGACGAGTGGAAGAATATCCACGTGATGCTCAACTGCATCCTTGGCATGGTCGAGAAAACGAAGAGAGCATTGGCGATCCTGCAGCGACGGGGATGTTCCAGTCCGGCGGCTGCGGCGCCACCGCCAGGTGTGGTGGTCGCGGCACAGAACGGCACCAACGGCAATAACGGCAACGGCAATAATCCCTCATCGACCAACGGTGCGCAGGTTGAATCGTCCACCGGCGATCGGGATGGCAATCTGAAACGATTGTCCGGCGAGATCGTCGCGCAAACGATCAGGGCGACCGAGGACAGAGTGGCTGAAGTCAAACGAAGAGCCGGTATTTTCATAATAAATTTCACAAATCTTTGATTATATCGGAAAGTTGTATGATACAAATTCTTAGAATTTTTACTAAATTTATGTCCAGAGGAAGCTGTGTTAGAAGTGAAAAGAGCCGCAGTAGCGGAAGTGCAACGCGCCGTGGCAGTTGCAGTTGCGGAATCGAGGGCAAACGAACGTTTGAGGGTTCATCGGTTACTGGACCTTCCTCTATCCCAAAGGAATCACGGTAGTCTCCGTCAGGGTCCCTTTCTGAGAGTTCATGGGAGCTCGAATGCGGTGGAGACTAGTGCCAGGAATGTAACGACACCGACAACAACAACGAATTCGGCACCGTCGACCACCGAAGACGAAAAGGACATCCACCTGACTAGCATGATGGGATCCGTAAGTATAATTGCATAATTAATTGTTCTTTGGAAAAAATGTTAAACATACCAAAAATGTGAATGTATCTACATTATATGTATAGATATTTATAATACATATCTACATTAATTAATTAAACAATCGACATATACAGATTCATTTTTATATTAATTTCAGATCAGCCATGATTATAATTAATGTAATTATTAGTTTGTTTAATTTCTCTTAGATTATTAATTAATTAATTTTTCTTATGCAGTATGAAATTTATCTAATTTATTTAGATGTTCTATTTTTTCCAGATATTCTTTATTTTTAAATTTTTATGTTGTTCAAAAATTAAATATTAAATTACTTAAATGGGAATATAGAGAATCTCATCGGTAGAGTTCCAATTAGAAAATTTTCCGTGCTTTTTCCAGAGTTGTTGGAATTGTGGTAGGCCCGCTCTGGAGACTTGCGGCGGCTGTGGGATCGCTCGGTACTGCGGTTCGTTTTGTCAGCATCGCGATTGGGAGGCCGGTCATCACACGACCTGTAACAACCTGCCGCCGCGCGAGCCACGAAGATCGGCTTCGCGCAGTCCGCCACGGGTCGTTGCCGCGAATCTTTCCACGAGCGTCAACGAGGTCGACGCCACGCCGATGGCGTCCGTCTCGAAGGGAAAGTGACGTCGCGGTGCTAAAAACAACCGATCGATTAAATCGATCGACTTCGAGTCGCGTTAATTGCGCAAATCCCAGGAGGAGTCTTTTCTGTAAAAAGTGGATGAATTGAAACGAATGGGGGGAATCCATTCCTGAAAATCTGAATGTCTGATTTTCGAAAGCGATAATCAATCTGTTAGGTTTCGTTTTTCTTTTCATTTCCTAATTGTGTGTGAGAGAATGAAGATTAAAAGGAAAGAGAAGAGTAGAAAAAAATGTAACAATTCTATAGAGACAAATTTTAATTTTTGGATATTAGGTATTTCAACAAAATGAATTCCTTCCGCGTCAATTCTCTTTAATTCGTCCATCTTCTGCAGATCCTTCACCGATCATACATCTTCTGCGTACTCTCATCGTTGTCATTTTCTTTCTACGAAACTGAGATTTCTTTTGTAATATATCTGGAAATGTGGACGAGTCTGAACAAGAATCTAGTTCAATGTAACTGTGAGCAAATTGATTATTCACTTGTGACAGAGAGAGAGAGAGAGAGAGAGAGAGCATTGAAAAATGCTGGTTCGATATACGATCAGTTATCTTCTGGATAGATACTCTCTAGTCCCGGCGTTTCAATAGGCGATAATGTACGATAGCAAATGATTATTTAATCGATTAGAAAAATACGAATCTTCATATGTGATCGATCAGCTTTGATATTCCATTTTTGAATTATACTATATAATAACAGTACGACGGTTCAAAAGATATCTAAAAGATATTGGAGCACATCTTCTGAAAATTTGGAAACTTCCCAGATAAAATACGATTTTTTGCGGACTTTGAGTGGAACGTCGGTATGATAAAAATGTGTTTTTAGAATTTATCAATTAATCACGCAAAAATGAGCGACTGATTTCATATCAAATAGTGTAAACGATTGCATAAATATTTGCGTTTTTTCGGATAGATAACGCCGACGAAATATGCACAGCACTGTCATAAATGTACACGTTTATCAGCATCATGTGCCAGCCATTCCGCTTTTTATTATCTACTATTGAATCGTAAATTTTCGCAATCCATTTATTATCTAGGATTAAAGCAAACAATAGAAATAATGTGTGTCTTAAACGTTTTCTGCAATTGAAAGAATAATAGATAACAGAATGAATCTCTATATCTTCGATCAATGAATCGCAGCATTTCGTACTGCTCCGAATCGACATTAGCAGTAAATGTAGTATTACGAAAATAATTCCTCCCGTTAGCGTAGACGTTTTCTTCATTTCGTCATTAGTAATTTAAATTCTTCATATATGCGAAGCAAAGTTCAATTGGCAAACTTTGTTTGGATGCAATTTAGAAAATGCTTTCTTTTCTTCACTTGTTCATAAGAATCTGGTAAAGCATTTGATTCTTTATATATGTATATACGCAATAATGGCAGAAATGTTTTTTACTTTTAATATCGGTTGAATCTATGATGCATAAAATTATGACGAGTTAGTTTTTATTCTTGTAAAACGAACGAGTACTGTTATTTCACATGTGAATATAACTTTTTACTGTATCTCAATATTACATCGCAGAATATCGTTATGAAAATAACATAAATGTATCGTGCAAGATAAAATTGATATGTACGCAACATAAAGTTACACCGATACACAAAAAGTGATTTGATTTTATTGCGTATCTACGCTGCTCTCGATGTTTCATACATGAACAAATGAATCGCATCGATTTTATCCTAGTCAATTGATAGATTTAATGATTGTAACGAGATTAATGTAACTTAGAATCTTTTACTTTACGCGCACACACCTCAGGATATAATTATCACGTATATTTAAGTCTAGTCACACACGGGAAGATGAAGTGGATTTATCGATCATACGCATTAGGAAACTTTGCTCAAATCTAGACTATGAATTATTGTAATTTTTCCTAGGCATATTGCGTTGCGGGGATGTATGATATGGATATTATAAAATGTATTTGTAAACTAACGAAATATATAATGATTATTCTATGTCAGAACGTAAAGGAAATAATATCAACAGATCTTTTCATTGTACCTACGACTTATTTAGCTAAAAATGGGATAAATTTAATTGTATAAATCTGATTTTTTTCAATTAAATATTTTATGCTCTTAATTTTAAATAATCATAAACATACATCGTAATATTTTCCGCGAAAATAAGGAGATAATAAGGCATTACGCACTAACTCGATTTTTTTAATCCTTTGTGGAGAACTAATTGATATAACGAAAAAAACAATATACAAATATTTTGCCATTTATTTAATAAATATATACAAGAAGTCGTTATATATTGTGACGTGCTATATTATATTTCCCTATTTTTTATTTCGTAGGAGTCTTTCCGATAATATCTGCGAATAACGCTTTAGTTTTTTCCTCTTTACCTTGCGACTCCGACCAATTCTTCTTATTTCTCGCGAATAATGGAACGTTTAATTTTGCGGAGATAATCTTGCCCGATTTTGTGGATTCTAAAGATTTGCCAGCCACGGCCAACTCCTCCATAATGAGGATTTTTTGATTCGTACGCGCCCATATCCACATTTTGTCCACACACCTAGATCCGTGCGTGCTTTTCGCTAATTCTACCCAAATGCCTTGCAGTTTTTTACATAATTTCTCCCTACTCTTCTCGCCGATATATTTGCTGTCCATAAAAGCATCCAGGATTCGACTGCCCTTTGGATCGCTGAATAATTGCAATAACTCTTCATTGTTCATTTCCAATAAGGAATTCGCAATTTTGATAGGTTTATTGAAATTCAGTATGGCTTGTATTATTAAACTTCCATGTAAATTGAGTGGTCGTGAATTATTTGGCATAGCTTTTAGTTGAGCTGAATTTTTCAAAGTCACTATGCACCATATGAGCTGTGTCTGATTCTCTGTAGATGTATCGCATTTCAGCAGTTTGATCATTGCATTGACAAATGCACCTTGTTTTGTTTGCAGTCTTAAACATGCATTTCCAGTGCTGACTAATATCCCAGTGAAACCCTGCTTAAGGATTTTTGGAAAGTATTCTGACACTTTGTCAAATATTTCTTCGAAGAGTTCCTTGGTAATGCAATAATCTAATAATCTTTGCACACTAAAATTGGTATTCTGTGTCAAACACAAATGTTTCAAATGTTCAGCAAAATATATATTATATAGTTTCGTGAAAGTTTCCGGCTGTGCTACCATCAGACAAGCTTCCAATATCCTGCTAGAGGATTCTGCGTTAAATATATTCGATAATTTCTCGTCTTCTTCTGTTTTAAAACATTCTTTTATAATTTTCTTGATAATGGCTTTTGTTAAATTTTGGTCAATGTCTTTTAAAGAATATAAGATACATTGTACTAAGCCAGAAGTAATTTCTTGCTGTCCAAATTGATGGAATTGTGGCCATTTCTGCAACCGATCACAACTTTGTATCAACTGATCCTTATAATCCTGTATCACAGAGCGCCTATCTGTGAGAGATGGCATAGTAGATTTCTTATTAGTTTCATTATCCTCAATTAGTCCTCCTAGACATTTAATGACTGTCCGTAATACGTGATTAGCATAAGTGTCAAACACAAATTCCTCTATATTGTTAAGAAAATATCTGCTCAGCTTCAGAACAATATTGTTGTAAGAGTCTACTTCAGATGGCTTAACTTCAATGACAGCGTCAATAGTTTTTCCCAATTCTGTCTTATTCGTTGAAACTTTACTTGGGATTGATATAGAAACTTGATTGCCTCTATCAGCACAGACCATTATTATTTTTTGCAAAACGTGACTAGCGAATTTGTCGCTGCTCAACTGCCTCAAAGAGGATTCAAATGCCTGTATCAATTTCTGAATTGCATCCAAGCTAGCATATTTCAGGAGAGAGTCCATGACACAAGATCCAATTTGATTACGCGCACAATCAATCTCGCGGCCTATCATCTCCTGATAAACATTCTGTACAAATATCAGTTTCTCTTCGGACGAAGAGAAATCTTTGCGCATCAACTCGAGAATGCGAATCATATACTGATAGGTGTCCTGATCCAAATTGTTGCCAGAGTTTCTTTGACGAGCAAATTTTTTCACCATTTGCGTGTGAGAACGTTTCTTCTTTCGTTTCATCCCGCAAGCCTCTTGTGTTCCCATCATGTTTTTTGATTTGACAATCAACGTACCTGATTTAGAAGAAAAATAGCTATGATTAGAGACATTAAATCAATATACACTGTGCGATATCTCTTTTCTTTTACGGACTCTTTAATGTTGTATAATACTATTCACGTAAATAAAAATGAAATTAATTAATAAAAAATACGCGCGTATATAATATATAATATATATATATTTACCTCTATAGATATATTTTTAAATATATTTATCAATTCAAATATATTATGCTATCTATGCGAGACATGTGCTTTCTACCATTTAACCTACTCTCGAAAACAAACCAAACATATGAGATATATACATATTGAGTGCGTTCCTTTTAATGCTGTGAAAGTTTCGAATCGTTTAATTGGCCAATCAGAACGAAAGTAGCTAAAACATTCTGGGCCAATCAGAGCACGTTTAACACAAACATCCTGTGGCGCTGCTAATTCGCGCTTAAAAAATACTTCCCGCCATGACGTCATCTTCGGTGCGCGTATAACGTACATTTCGTCTCGTTCCGCGAGTGTGAGTTTAAAAGTTCGTAAAAGATGTAAATAAGTAAAAATCTTTCGGTATTTTGCATTGTTTTCATCTTTCGAAAACCGCGAAACTTTCTAAGATAGTATTTCGTTGACTCTTTTCTTAATTGTTTGAGGAAAAGCAGCACATATATCGCAGCGTTTCGGGAGAGCGTTTGAAAATGTCCCTCTTCAGCGGCTTCTTCGACAACGCAACGGATCTGTGAGTAAAGGAGTGTAAATTATATAATTATTTGTTTGTTTTTCGTATCACTGAATCTCATTTTCTTTTATGAGACATTCATCTTGTTATATATATTAGAGATGCTGATACAAATAATGTGCATGATAAAATTTTATAATATAATTGATTAAGCGATAAATGTTTTCTCTTGACAAAATGAATATTTATTTTTTGAAAAATAGATGAAGTTATTTTTCTGTAGTCTCTTCAAAGCCATTAGCTGATTGATATTTACGGTGATAATAATTACATATATAAAATAATATAATTATATGAAAATTATATTTATATATATATAATTCAAATTTTGGAAACGATTTTTTTTTACATTTGTTTCTTGTTCGCATATCTTATTTCTATACACATTATTATTCTTATAGTCGCAAATATTGGTAATTACTTGAAAAACCCAAAGATATTTCAGAGATATATTGGATATATAAACATATGTAAACGATACCAATTTTTTGTAATAATTAATTTCACGTTAGCACTATCTAATTCTTTTTAAATTCATTGAATCTGGATATTTACTTACAGTTCTTTGTAAGTTTTTAAGAATATTTTGTAAATGATATTTCTATCGAAATATCTCTAACGCATATAGAATATTTTTTGGTATATCATTTCATTTGATACATCATATTATTTTCACTGCTTTATCTTCAGCAGTAATGTTATCGACAATAATTTTCGCTAAATTTTTATCAAAGGTAAATTATTATACATGTTTTATGTTTATTACGAGCTTTAAACTTTAGATATTAAACATCATTTATTTTATGTCTTTATTTTACTAAGAATGAGAATTTCGTATTTATTTTTTGGATATAAAATCTTATATATTATATATACATGTTTTTTATATATGTTATATATATATATATATATATATATTATATATAACGAACTCAGAATATATAATTTATATATCATATATTTTATTATACACATAAACCTATATTTATAAAAAAAATTGAGAATAAAAAGTAGAAAATAGAAATAATTAACACAATCAAGGTAAGATATTAGTTAAAATTCCATCTCTTATAAGATATTTAATAATTTTTATGTTAGTCTTAAGTAAATAGTATTCCTTTAGAGAGAGTTGAGTAAAAAATTTTATCTTATAAATTTGTTTATGATAAGCTATGTTTTTTTGCATAATGATTAATGACACGCTAAGTAAATTTGATATTTCTGATCTGCAAAATTGCAAGAAGCAATTTTTCTCAATAATCAGATAGATGCGCATTTTTATTATTCATTCTAGTTTTTATCTCGCGTCATTGCGTGATGATTTGAACCGGTAGAAATGGAAAAGTATTGTAGACATACACGGGCCGATTAAACGCGAAGGAATTGGCGATCGCGAGAGCGGGATTTGTATCGAAATCTTGCTCGGGTTGCTCGTTTAACGCCGTCGTTGGCTCTCTGCTGCGAGGCGTCGTCGTGGTTTTTACGGTGGTCGCGGTGGTCCGTGGTCGCGGCGTCGTCGTTGTTGTGGTGGTGGTGAAAAACGGATAGCGATAGATAGCGGTGGTATGGTCCGGAGGTTCGTAGCTTTGTAATCTCGGAGCACCATAATACGCATGCAATCGATTGTTATTGGGATTAAAGCGTCGGCCGTTAGGACGCCAACCTCTGGGTTCGTACCCCGATAAATTTGATGTCGCCGCCAGTCCGATATAAAGGAGGATGAGAATAAACTGAAAAAAAAAAAAAAAAAAAAAGGAAAATTAATGTAAATAAGCCAAGAGCGGCGCACGCTCGAATAAATCGGGTAATTATCCTTATTTTATTGAGTATTTGAGAATGTTTATACGAAAGATATGGAAGAATGCCTTTTTTTATTCGCGATGCTCTTTATTTATTTAGAATCCATTTGTACATAAAAAAATAAAAATAAAATATTGAAATATATAAACTGAAAAAAAAAAAAAAATAAAAGTGAAATTAATGTAAATAAGCCAAGAGCGGCGCACGCTCGAATAAATCGGGTAATTATCCTTATTTTATTGAGTATTTGAGAATGTTTATACGAAAGATATGGAAGAATGCCTTTTTTTATTCGCGATGCTCTTTATTTATTTAGAATCCATTTGTACATAAAAAAATAAAAATAAAATATTGAAATATTTAATTAAATAATGAAATTAAATAATAATATTATTTAAATTGTATTTTATATATATTAAACAAAAAATCTCTCGCGCTAATCAATAAATTTTAAAACATAACATGCAAATGTTACGTTTTTAAATTTATTGGTTAGCGAGGGAGATTTTTTTATAAATTTTTTTAAATTCTTTTATACAAATTTCTTTTATTATAAAATTTTTCCCAAGCACAAATCAAGATTTTATAAATAACACTTTAATTTATAAACGTTTTTGTGTAAAGCAATTATTTATTTTGAGAGCCATTTCGCCAACAGCGGATCAGCATTGTAAATCAGCACTCTTGCACTACTATCATTACATCACTATCATTATTTGAGTGATATTTCTTAGAGTGCTTATTAGCGAGATCGAGCGAAATGCACGTGTTCAATATCCTTCTCTGTTTGAATGGAATATTATTTTACCGTCTCCCTCATTTTTGCCGAGATTAATACCGCTGTTGAGCGCGCACCGAAAATTTTTGGACTGGTCTTCGCTCAACTGCCAATTCCGTCTTTATATGCGAAGCGATGTATATGAGATTGGAGAGTCTAGGCTGTGTGAATACGAAACAAGGTGAAGACGAAAACGATTTCGTTCTTCGTTTCGTTGCCGTTTCGTAATACGCTGTTACCCATATTACGTGTTAAGAATGTTCGTTGTGGCAAACAAATTTTTGTTGTCTTTGTATGCCATTAGATTATTATTTAATCTATTTTTGATATATATCAGTTTTATATCGAGCCTACGTGCGGTTCAACTGATTTCATTCTGCTCGAAGAACGAGATGATATAAAAATTGTATTATATAATATGATCAGATATGATCGTATTATAAAATACATTTTTTGAGCACGTTTTCGGTTCCTCAATATATGTTCTCCGCAATTGTCTGCATTTCGTATCAGAGTTTTTACAATGCTTGATCCGCAAATAGATAGTGATAATACGGGGTGCAACGTCACCGCAATAATGGAATATATTCTACGGTTTCTCGCCGCATAGCAAATTAATAATTCAGGAAAATTAATAAACATGCTGCTCTAAAATTTATAACAACAGCAGCAGCGAATTTCCAAAGAAATCTGAAATATTCGAATTTATATAAATAAATTGTCGCGTTTCTTTTGAATTTTTTTTTTTTTTTTTAATTTAAGATATTCAAATTTAAAATAAAAAGAGCATTGATTGCTTCAAAAATGAGACGTTAATCGAGTTATAAGCGATTAAAGTGAAAAACTGATTTAACGTATCAATGAAACACGCACATACATATTATCCGGACGCATATCGGATCAGTGTTTTTCACCAATGGGTGTTTTAAACATGGAAGCGAGAACACGTCCATTGTAGTAACCGGTGTTGTAATAGCTTATGTGAATTGAGGACGTGTCTGGAATTTAAGATCGCACGCGCGACCGTAATGCATACTCTACGAATTCGCAAGATCGATGGACATTGCTTGCGTTTGCCTGTATAAATTCGCTCGGGGCGATCCAGAAACGTGGCGGGCTAACTAATCGCTGGATTGACAGTGAGGTTGAGTTGAGTGACATTAATTGAGATTCCGAGTGTGTGTTCTACACTCAGAACTTGCCGACTGTCATCGATCGCGCATAACAATACGATACTTATCCGCGATGTTAATTCTTTATTCATCAAAATTTGTTCATTGTTTAAATTTAATCTTTATTAGCTATATTTTTTATAAATATTTTTCATTTATAAGTATTTTTTTTTTTTTTAGAGTGATATCGAGTATATATTTTATTTCTATAAAGAAGAATAAATTTTTAATGATAAATTCTTGAACACAAAATCGGAATCGATTATTCCTTCCTCGATTTTTTTTTTTTTTTATAAAGAGAAAATCTCATTAGCTTTCTTTATTCTGTAAAATGCAGAAATGTCTGTGCTTAAGATTTTTGCGAACACAGGCCCGTGAGTATTTACCGTAAATATAAGGAAGCGATTCTATCTGTGAAAAATTCTGTCTGACTTAGCGTTTGTGCGCGCGATGAGAAAGATAAATAGAAAAGACGGGCGTTATCACGCCACGCGAGTCACGCGAAATCGAGATAACAACGCTGTCGCAGGCAGACGGTACGAGTGTCGGGTTGATCGAAAGCATGCGATATAATAGCTCGCGCGTCGAGAGAACTTTTGTTCTCTGATTGAGTATATCAAGTATTCCGGTTGAGTAACAAGTGGTAGACGCGTTCGTCATGTCACGCGTCAAATGCAGTATATTATGCGGCGTTCATTTCCATGGCTTTCTGTATAACTAAAAACAGCGCTCTGAGGTGTTCTTCTCCTCTCCCCTCCTCCTCGATTAAAGTTCCGCGCCGAAATGATTGCTTCTGTTCGTCGATATGCGCGTGGTCGAATCGATATGATGAACTTTCGCGTTCTTGCATTATTTTTGGCGAATGACCAAAAATTCGGAAATTTTTCAGAATTTGAAAGATTAAAATCTATACATATAATGTAGAAGAATTTAGCAGAAAAATAGAGAGAGCAAAGATTTTGATAGAACGAAATTGAGTTTGTAGCGGGAAAATAGATAAATATTTCTTATTAATTAATAGATATATTTATATATATTTTTTCAGGACTACAATAAGCTTCAAGTTCTGAAGTGTTTACGTAAAATATCGGAATTTATGCAATGTATTCTGCAATTGTTTATTTATCTACACACACATTTAAATATAAAAATTTATTCATATTTAGATATCAATTACTTAAAAATGTATATATGTGTTTTAAAATCTCGATGAGATATATTTGTACCACAATTTATATTCGCATTTTTCTCATATTTTTCATTTTTTATACAATGTAGTTTATATTATTTTTCAAACATACTGTTCATATAAAGACAAATCAATCAAGCTATCATTTACGATATAATATCAAAATCGAAATGCATATTATAGTATAAGTTCTATTGCTATCTAAAATTAATTAAGCTCTTATTGCATATAATAAAATAAAGCCAGAATATCATAAAAGTTAAAAAAATTTTTTTTTAAGGATTTATAATCTTCAGGAAAAAAAGCAAGTGCTTCATTGCTTATTCATTACTTTTTTAGATACTAGATAACCTTATTAAAAAGTAATCTTATTACATTTTATTTGATAGAGCTAACAGCAAAGCACACCATATTACTTGTTGACAAAAATTTATTTTGTTGTTAAGAGAACATTTAAAATACACGATTTTATATATTTGCGTAATAAATAAAATGCAATTTTTGTTCGGCTTTGCGCAAAATACGGAATTATTTTTTATTTACGCATTTATTAAGTGTAAATGTATATTACTTAGAAGATGCAAAAGCATCAATCAAAAAGCAGTATAAAATCACGATGTTTTGAAAATTTATATATATATATAACATGAACAATTTGATGTTTATATCTATTAATTGATATTATAAGTTAATTGATCGGTTTCCGGGACATTATCGAGCTTCACAGTTCCTTCATGCTGAGCCTTTTTCCTTGCATCCTGCCGTCTTTGCTCGTCTTTCGTTAAAACGGTTAAGATGAAACCGAACAACAGAATCGAGCATAAGGCAATGTGCACCGGAATATCGCCGTACGCTTTCAGTAATATTCCCAGTATTATAACGAATATTACGCCGTAAATGCAGTTTGTTATATTGAGGATTTATTCGGTGCATAACTCATATCCCAGCGCAAAGTATCCCGACATGAAAAATCTATAACGAACATATGATATCAAGAAAGTAACATATTATTCTCAGAAGTTATATAATAGCAGAAATGAGATAAAGAAATATTTAAAATATAAATTATATAAAATAAAATATATATAATAAAGTCTGAAAATTTTCTTGTATCATAATTTACTTGTACGTACAAGATTTTGAATATTGTCATAGAAAAGTGACAATTATATTTCTTTAAGAAGTTTAATGACGAACTTTTGTTATTTTGTTAACGATATACTTTGGACAATGAATTATTTAAATTATTATAATTTTTTAATGTATATTTGTAATATATATATATATATAAATTGATACATTACCCTAGAAAAATCGACGACATATATACCATCCATTTTATGCCGACATAAATAAATACCGCGAATAGTAGCTGACCGCACAATGAGAGGAAGTATACAGTCACGGCAGTCTCTCTGAAAGTATAAATTATTAATCGACAAGGATAGGTAATGCATGATTTGTGACAACCAGCAGCTTATGGCTGCCAAAATAAATTAGAGTTGCATTCTCGAGGAAATTATAAATTCTCTTACTTGAATTTATGTGTTTTATCAAGGATGATGCCAAAAATTACGGAACCAGCCATACCGCTGATAATCATAGCTAATCCAATTCTACCCGCATCTTCCTCTCCATTCTAGAACATGTCTTGACTTTAGATATATGTACGAAATGTAAACACGAAAATATTTTTAAATGCTGTTAAGGTATAGAAATATTTGCTCGTGAATTTCTTTCTCTCTCTTTTCGATCTGCTACATCCAAATTGGAAATTCACTGGCTCACCTCAAAGTGCATGAGGAATATTTGATTGAGTAACGTAGCCACGACATTCAGCACGCCGACGTTCAAACCGTGAGAATTACAGAGTAGGATAAAGCTTTTGTTTTTACAGAGTCTTTTAATCGGCACGAAGAATGCCTCCTGTTTCTTCGTTCGATTCAGTTTTTGCAACGCTCGCGTCTCACTCGGTGGCAGTTTCGGTTCTTCCTGGAATACTGATGCGAAAGCACTTTGAGAGAAGTAAAAATAATATAATATGTTTCCTAAAGCGCGCCAGCCATTTAATTAATTAGTTCGTATCCTCTGACGATCGGCTAATGTAAATAAAAACAAATCCGGATGAAAACTGGAATTAAAATGAGTTATCAGTTATCGAAATATCTGGCCGCATTGAAAATTGAGAAATATTACACTAAAAAGAGGAGATATCAATAGATATTATCAAGTGTTTCATTCCATTAGTACATTAAAAATTTCCTTGAAATCTTCCTACATTGAAAGTATATTAATAAAATCATATTTGAATGTACGGGATACATATGAGACATTTGAATATATGAGAGATGCATTGAAAAGCTTTTTAATTTAAATTTATGAAAGATTATTTTATGAAGAATATTTGACTTTCAATTATTATAATTAAATATATAAAATATTGCATAAATAAATTTTATATTAATAAATTAATATTAAGAATGAATGTATGAGATTAAAAAATTTCATTTTTCATCTATATTAGATTAGAAAATGGTCATGAGAGCCTATGTAGAAATTAAAATATTATTTGCATTGAACTCAGATCTATTTCAATTATAACAAATGAAAATTAAACAATCATAAAAGGTGAACAAGCGTGTCTCGTTTGCAATAGATTTCGTATAACTTACGTATGAGTACTAAAATAAATCCAATCGTGGTAACGATTGCAACGATCCAGCATAAACGTGATAGATCGTTGCCGATGTCATCTAGATTTTCGTGATTCTTCACTATTATAGGCGTCAAGAGAAAACCCAATGCTATTCCAAATTGGTTGCCAAAAATACCCAAGCACGTGGCGGTCGAGAGTTCGTTAGAAGGAAACCATTGCGCGGCCAAGCGCCCTGGTATCGGTAGGATCAGAGTCTGATAAAGTACAGTGTCATTGAAAGAAATTGTCATTAAAAGAAAACGTGATAGAGGGATAGAGGATCTTTTTTATATTACTATAAATATAAGTATAGTAATATAAAAAAAATGAGAAAAAAGAAGATACAACGCAGTTATCAAGATTTTTTAATGAGATTAAGAGAATAACCTGGGTAAATCCGACTATAGACTGACCGATGAAAGCGATGTAGAACCTGTCGGGGTGAACGGAGAAGGTTTTTATCCATGCGCCCAGGGTGCTCAAACCACTGCCTAAGATGGCCATCCATCGCAGACCACAATTGTCTGACATATGTTGCACTGGGAATACGAATACCGCGTAAAGCAGCATGAACGACATGGAGGTCCAATCGACCATTAACGAAGACACTCCATAATATCTGAATAATGTACAAGGGAAGACACCGATCCGCTTACATTCCATTTGACTGTTTAAATTTTAAGAAATATATGTTATACCTAGTGACTATGTTAGTTATAATCGAGTATTCTATCCATTGACTGGCGATCACTCCGTTATAAATCATATAGATAACCAGCATTATCCATCTTTTCTTATACGCTTTAATTTTTAACGGTTCGATGTCCGGCTGCTCGCCTAGTTTCGCAATCTTTGCCGTACTTTTTATAGTAAGCGCTTCGTTCAGATTTGTATCTTCCATTTTTGCTCTTTCGCAGGAATTTTTAGTATATTTGCTTATGCTACAGAAATTACAATCTCACAAATCTATAGTTAAAGATAGAAGATAGTTTCCTCGAATTATTTGTTTAATAAATTTTTCTGCGATATTCACTCCCGACATTTGCAGTAATCAAAAAATTATAGAATCTTATAACGTATTAGAGTTACACTTTTTAAAATTTACTTATTAAATTTGGAATGATAAATTAGAGCGCGGTTTCCGCACGGTTCGCAACTGTGTATTTCGCAGTTCGAAATTTTCCATTCCGCGAATTTAAAAATTAAAATAAAATCGATGTCGTTTGAAATTGAGATGAAGTGCAACTGAGCGCCAGTAATATTTCCGTTGCGAAATCAGTATGCAACTTAACGTTACGCGGTAATAAAATAATTTTCCTTATCTATATTCAGGATTAAATAGAATTATATTATTAGCTCGAAGACACATACAAAATCGCGACAATCTGTATTCTATGTACTTAGTCTTATCACAATTTTTATCAGATTCGGCTGCCTTGTTGTTAGCACAGTTCTAAATGAAGTCGTACGACATTCATCTTGTATTTCTCAAGCAATTAATTTTACAAATCAAACAATTTATACATGCGACGTAATATGCATCACATCGCGATACTAAATATTTTTTTATTGTATTTCTATTTGAATATAATATTGACATAAATCACATATGGGAAGATTAGCTTGATCCTATCGGATTTTACAGAGAGCAAAATGGGCGTCTGAATTACGTGACAACGGCATTCTGAGTGAATGTCGCACTGACAATAAGATAAGATCCGCATATTTGTGTAATTTTAGTGAGTTTCAGGATATATGTACCAATTGTAGAGGACAAAGAGAGAGCGAGAGAGAGATGCACGATTAGTATTCCGTTATCGAGATTCGAAGTTTGAACATTCTTGTGGCAGACATTATTGGTCGCAATCTACATTCTAAATCAAGGATATTACTTCGCGTTTCCAGAATATATGTGAATATGAAAAGATTTTTATTAGAATTTCACTAAAACCTCCGCTTTTTTGTCTAAACTATTATTAATTGTTAATTAATATTTTTATTATTATTGTTATAATCAACGATGTGTGTTATGTTAAATTAGAATCATGTAGAAACGACATTATATCTGCAGAGTAAAATATGTTCTACGCTTCAAACGCTTCAATGTACACAATCATGTCAATGCAGGTAGAAATAGTTCCGTGGGGAGTTCATTAACGTCGGAACTACAGTATTATATACGATCGCTATGAAGTACGGCTTATTGTACGCTTAATTGTAAACACAATACGTATTTCGCTTGGGAATTTGTTACCGCAAAAGAGAGGGAGAGGGAAAGAGAGAGATGCACGATTAGTATTCCGTTATCGAGATTCGAAGTTTGAACATTCTTGTGGCAGACATTATTGGTCGCAATCTACATTCTAAATCAAGGATATTACTTCGCGTTTCCAGAATATATGTGAATATGAAAAGATTTTTATTAGAATTTCACTAAAACCTTCGCTTTTTTGTCTAAACTATTAATTGTTAATTAATATTTTTGTTATTATTGTTATAATCAACGATGTGTGTTATGTTAAATTAGAATCATGTAGAAACGACATTATATCTGCAGAGTAAAATATGTTCTACGCTTCAACATATGAAATGTACACAATCATGTCAATGCAGGTAGAAATAGTTCCGTGGGGAGTTCATTAACGTCGGAACTACAGTATTATATACGATCGCTATGAAGTACGGCTTATTGTACGCTTAATTGTAAACACAATACGTATTTCGCTTGGGAATTTGTTACCGCAAAAGAGAGGGAGAGGGAA